TGGCTGAGGCAAGGGCGGAACAAGAACAACTGAGACGGGAGGCTGATGCAAGAGAAGAAGAACGGCTTGTGACTAAGGCAAAAGCTAAACAAGAGCGACTGAGGCTGGAGGCTGAGGCGTTGGAAGAGGAATTAAGGGCAGCAGCTGAAGCCGAACGACAGCGGTTGGAATTTGTTGCAAAGGCTGTGGAGGAAAGATTGCAGCAAGAGGAAAAGGATGCAGAAGATCCTGAAGATGCTGAACGATTGGAATTTGTGGCGCAGGCTGTTGAGGAAAGACTGCAACGAGAACAGGCAATACAGGAAGCTAAACTGGCGGAAGAAATGTCGCCAGTGCAGCCCGCGAGACCATTTTCTGATGCGTTTTCCCAAAACTCGGCCCACCAAAAAGTCGCATTCACCGGCTCTTCTCTGACTGCTACAGGTGGTCCTCCAAGTGCAGCTTCAAGGGTACAACCACCTCTCCAACCGGAGCCGCAGCAGATGGCGTCACCCGCTGCACCCGTGCAGCCAGGGGTGCCTTTTCTGAATGACCCCCTTGGTGGTGGCCGAGACACAGCCGCATTCTTTGACCGCTACAACCAGGCATACTTGACGCAGAAAGCGCAAGGCAACCAAATGCAACAGGAGCAGGTGGAGCCGCCAGCGGATGGGGTTAGTGAGGATGGAGGAGCGATTAGTGACTACAAGGCTTTCTAGTGTGATGGAATTGCAGAATCCGACGACAATGTGCAGTCAACCTGGCGAGAATCGCAATGTCAACACCTAAGGATATTTCTTTTATCGTGAGTTGGCTGATTCCTTGTCTAAGGATGAAACGAGACCATGTTGTGGAACCTACAAAAGTGTAGTCTACGCAAACTGGTCCAGCTAGCTAGCGCTGTTGAATACATTTATTAGAGTTTCTTATTGCATTGACGCTGTTCGTCCCTAGCTAGCTACCGTACGTTGACGAGTTCGGCCTGTCCGCTTCCTCTTAGTAACTGCACTTCCCACAGCAGGGCGACGCGAATGAAGCATACGCGCTGGAGGCTGCGAAAGTGGATACGATTCCTCCGTGGGCATCGACACAAGCGGAGCAAGGGCGTCAAAGATTCGCCCATTCGTTTGTCAATGAATGACTAAAAATCAAGCTGAGAAGGCGTGCCTCACGAAGACACCGTGGTCTTCTGACCGAACAATTTCACTATACGTTTGGAGCCATTTCCTGGCTGGAACCCAGTTCAGGAGCAAGTAACCAAGCAACAAGCAAACTGAGACCGACGTGTTCTTCGGCTGTGCATTTATTGTGTCTCCTTTGGGTTGCGTTGACGCATCGATATGTCTCACAACGCTGACTTGCACCATGGGCAAAGCCTCCGGAATAGTTCAAGATAGCAAGCTCGACGCATTTCTTTCGAGGTGAGAAACCAACCAGCAGAGCTGTCGGTCGCACTTTGATTGGAGGCAGTGATGTCAGCGACGGAGAAAAATGAGCGTGGTGTGGTTCGTAGTTGAAGAAGAAACTGACGTTGCCCCCACCTCATCCATGTCATCCGGACCCAATCGCGATCTTCCGTACTGGTGTCGCACTTGCTGAGAATCGAATCGTCCAGGCTTTCCAGCGCAACTTTCTCATTCTCAATGGAGGTCATTCATTATTCTTTTGTACTTTTACTTACTTTTACGAAGGAAGTCTCTCTCTAAAGAAGAACGGTTGAAATAGTACATTATTTGTGCACTATTGGAGGTATAGAATGAGATCCAAACAGCGCCATGTCCAAGCATTGGCGGTGCTTCTGCTACTAGTAGCGTCGTCCGAAGGCTTTGTCTCTCAGCAAAGAGAATGCCATTTCGACAAGACCGCACTGTTTGCCCAAAACGCAGGTGCTGGTAATCCGGCTACCACTCCCGCTCTTCGAATTGCCTATGGGAGCACTCTGCCCACAATTGCCAGCATGCCGGTGCCCCGCCCTCCCGTGCCCCAGGTGGTAGTACCACCAGAAGCAAAAGCAGAAGTGCCAGAGGCACAGGCAGAAGAAAAGAAGGGGGGTCTGGACTATGGAGCTCTCAACAATCTGGCATTTGAAGCAGCCGTGAGTCTATCCACAGGAGACTACGTCGTTGCAACCAAACCAATGACGGAAGCAAAGGAGAGTCTAGCGGAGAGTGTCGCGAAAGTGGAAACACCCGGACTAGACCCGGCCGAAATTGAACGGATACAACAGGAAGAACGCGCTAGATTGGATGCCGTCGTGCAAGCCTTTTACGAGAATCTACAACAGGAGCAAGCCCAGCTATCACAAGTGGATGTTCCTTCGTCCACCGTACCGTTTTCAAATGGCGTGGCAGGCCAAAAAGTCTCCTACAATGCCGGACGTGTTGGACCGCAACGAGTCATCTTTCATGATTCACAGTACCATCCATCCGAACAAACCACGACCAAGGCAGTCCCCTTTTCCAATTCAGTGGTGAGGAAAATGGCGCCGCAATCTGCCATTCCACAAGAAGATGTGCCGCAACAACCGCAACCAACTGGTTTCTTCCAGCGGTACAATCGTCCGTACTCCGAGCCCAAACTTCCCGCCATGGTGGCACAACAAGAAGAACAAGTATTGCAAAAAGAGACGATTCAGGAATTTGGGGCTTTCTAGCTGGATTGTTGAGCAGCAAGAGTATGGAAGATTGCTGCCAAGCAAGAATGTCCTATTCATGCATTCCTTGAGAGCAAAAAGATGCTCAACGTTGAAACGATGTATGTATGAGGTCAGCTTGCAGCAGCCATAGGACAAGAGAGACTGCTGCTGTTGTGCTGGAAAGCCTGTATGATGTTGTTATCCATAAAATAGACAATTTTGCATGCCAACTCGATCGAAACAATGACGTCTGAGGCGCCGACAGATCGTGAAGAGTGAATTGGCCCAAAAGTTATCATTGGGCATGGAGATGCTTCGTCCAAGGGTATTGGTATTCCACTGCCGAGTCGATTCATTCATTCGAGGTGGTGCTTTCGTTCAAAAACTCGCAGGCTTCACAAACACAAAGAAAGTTGAACTAGAATTGGAAGCATGCTTAGAAAACAAGGCAAATAGAAAGGAAACCGAATTGGAAATGTTTTGTTTAATTTTAAAAGCTGCAGAACAACGAGAAGACAACAGAAGCAGCAGCACAGGAGTCTCGCTGTAGTATGTCGAAGAAATTGATGCCGCATCCAAACCGCAACACTCGCTCCCTGGAAAGAACTTTAATGGGTTCCTGGCTGATCCATCCAACATCATCCTTAGTCATCGCTTTGCAGATCGTGGGATACGATTGTACTGCCGAAACAGTGAAGTTTGTCGAGGTAGCTAGCCAGCTTGCTGGACTCCTCCAGCCTGGTACTTTGGATGAAAACCTTTACAGTATTCACGGTCAGGAAAGCTTCCCGCTATTTGTTACTGTTGCTACTTGGCCTGCAGGTCGCGGAAAACAGAAATCCTATTGAGAGCAGTCCTGAGTTCTCGGGGATACTCGTCGTATCCCAAAGCATATCGGGAACGGAGAGTGTCCCGGTACTTGGGATCGTAAGCGTTATTCACGGCCAGGAAAGCTACGAAAGCTTCATGACCTCCCTTCTTGAGCGTAGCCTTTCCTGATGCATCGGCATTGCTGTATTCTGGGAGCGTTTCCACAAAGTGGTCTTGCCAATCATCGCCGAGGTACATCTTGACTGTATTGGCATGGTCTCGAATTCGGTAGCCAAATGCATACGCTGGTTCATGTTGACCTTGCTTGCATTGAAGAAGATTAGTCAGGGCCCTAGTCAGATTGTCGAATCCGTAAGATGAGCCAGCCCGACCCTCATGGCTCAGCTTCTGTAACCTCTTGAGTAACTCCACTGGATGTTGCTTCAACTTGGACTCATAATCTGTTTCGGCCCTTATGAGTTTCACCATCCCAGCGGTACAATATTTGGATATGATGATGGATGCAAGTCGAATGCGGTTTTCCTCGAGCTGCTGTCGGCGTAAATGAACATCCTCCATCTCGCTCTTGAAAACCATCATGTATACTACATCCTCGAGCTTCCTCTCGTCTTTGTCCGCTTTGGTGGAAGTCTTGAGGACAGGATCCGGGATTGTAACTTCGGCAAGCGAATCGACCTCACTCATAATGTCTGTACAGTAGTGCACGAATAATGTGACACACTCATGCTCTATCTTTTCTTGGATCAAGGAAAAGGTTGCATACTGATGCTCCCCAGACGAGTTTGGTGCGAACTTGTATATCAAGGTCTGTCTTCCTGTCCCGTTATTGGAGTTGTTCTTATTGTTTGTGCGGTTGCCACCACCCCTGCCAGAGCGGCGGTAGCCTCTGGACAAACCTTTCTTGCCCATTGATACAGTCTTGCGTGTTCCTTCAGAAAAGTAGCGTCTTGTCTTTGTAATGGGGACTCTTTCAGATTTCAATAGAGCTCTGGCGTTGGTTTGGGTCCGCAGTGGCGGGTGCAGTACCGATAGCTGGAAGAGCAATTATTCTCAAATTTTGGTGCCAGATCTTGTTTTTCTGTTTTCTTTTTCTTGCGTTTGTTGCCCAATTGCGCCACTAGTTCTTTCTTGGTCTTGGCGGTAGATGTGATAGTAATGATTGATTCAATGGATTTTTCTCTTGCATGTTGGTTAAACGCCAAAGAGATCTAGCTAGTAGCAAACAACATCATGGTCATGCATTATCAGTTCAAAAGAAAAAGCAGGTGCAAATCTTTCTTGGATCTTTGCGTTCTTATTTCTGAGGGGGTGTCAGTGCATGCCAGTTCGATCCGGGTTTGATGAATGCCGGTACGGTAGGCCTGGGCCACGACGAGGGAACGGACGACGACGAGGCGGCGTGGAGAAGCAGGAAAACGCATTGCAAGCATTACACACCTGAGTAGACTGGTTGGTTGTTGACTGTCAATGCTATGGCTAATAGTGAGGCTGCAACTAGAGTAACTACAAACTATTTAATAATCAAAGTCAAACTCATTGTCAACTCTATCATAGTACTCCACCTGCCACATTGGCCGGTCCATGATCTGGAGCTGCACAATGTTGGCCACAGCACGGGCCATCTTACCATGTTTATCAAGGGAATGGCGCCACCTCTGAAGGAGGCAGCCCCATTCCTTGAGTCTCCTATTGACACATTCGTGCCTGGCCCTTGCAAGAGCCTTCCTGCTAGTCTGCTGTTGATTGTCAAGGTGTCTCCATGGGCAGTCAAAGAACTGAGGATACCCCCTGTACCCCTTGTCAGCCACAGCTCTCTCATCTCCCTCAAACATGTGGACCAAAGATGACAAAGAAATGGCAATATCAACCCATTCACCACAAGGGAAGGGACCATTGATCCACACAATCCATCCAGTTTGAATACATACAGCAATTTCATACCTCAGTCCAGGACCATTAAACTTCTTGGTATACCAACCAGTAGAGAAAGGACCTGGTTCCCTGATGCGAAAGCCAGTTCCATCAACAGTTACCAGACACCGACTGCCATTGTCATTCATTCGTCGGTACTCCCATCTGATCTGGAGCAGCAGTGATGGTGGATTGTAGCATGTACATGGTGAGGTCTTTGTATTTGTGGA